AGTGTACACCCAAGTCTCACTAGCCTTGTTTATTTTCTTTTTTAAAAAAATTTTATTATTTTTGTGTGTACTGGCAAATTGGATCTGACTCACCACTGGACCAATCGGTAGCATCAAGATGGATGGCGAAGAGATTGAGATTGTTCACAGCTTCAGTTTGCTCGGCTCCACGGTCAACACTCTTGGCACCAGTAGCCAGGAAATAAAAAAACATATTGAGATGGGAAAGTCTGCGGTTAGGGACCTCTCTAAAGTACTCAGGAGCAACAGTGTCTCTCTGGAGACTAAGGTGCGCCTGATACAGGTCATGGCATTTGCAATCGCTTGTTATGCATCAGAGAGTTGGACAATGACTAGGGAGGACAGAAGGAGAGTGGATGCTTTTGAGCTGTGGTGCTGGAGAAGGGTACTGAATGTACCCTGGACTGCCAGGAAAACAAACAGATCCATCTTGGAGAGGATTAAACCAAGCTGCTCCTTGGAGGCAAGGATTCTGGGGCTTCGTCTGACATACTTTGGACATGTTGCCAGGAGGGACGGGTCCTTGGAGAGGGACATCATGCTTGGGAGGGTGGAGGGACAGCGCAGGAGGGGAAGACCCTCTATGAGGTGGATTGATTCGGTGACTGGGGTACTCGGGATGGGTGTGTCAGAGGCGGTGCGGTTGGCACAGGATAGAGCAGGGTTTAGGGCTGTTGTGCATAGGGTCGTTATGAGTCGCAAACGACTCGACGGCACATAACAACAACAACAGTACAGGAGGAGATTGTCTCTCTTCTCCCGCAGAGCATCTGGTGGATTCAGACTGCTCAACTCTGGGATTGCAATACAGCTTCTTGCCACTAGGCCACCAGAGCTTGCCACTAGCCTTGTTTCTAAGGAGAATTCTGGATACCCTTCTTCCAAGACAAATTTATCTGTTATGTAAATAGTCCGTGGCAAGTTTGTTCAATATTTGTCCCCAGGACCGCATTTCAGATGGATCAATTTCTTTGGTCTTCTTTATTTGTTATTCAACTTGCACATGTTATATGACAATTGATAATACCATGGCTTGGTTCAAACACACTTTACTGTTTCAAGTGACATTCTTGCTCTTTAACACCTTAAAAAGGCCTTTGAGAGCAGATATGCTTACTGCAGTATTTTATTTGCTGTCATGACTGCTGTTTCCATAGGTAGCACTTTCATAACTCATTTTCAGGGGACAGATGTCCAGGCCTTCCTTTCTCCTATGATGCTGCTGGCAAGGTTTGAATTGCCAACTTTAACCAACCATTTCATCACTGGGGCTCCTTAAGTCTTTAAATTATCAAGTGTATCTTTTTACTCTTGAATTCTAGACACAAATTTAATTGGCTCTTGGTGTTTCACTTAGGTGACTGGGCACATCCCAAATTTAGATCCAAATTGGATTTCTGAACTTCTTCAGAAAATCTGCCTCTCTTGCCAAGTTTCTAGTTTCAATAGCAACACTGTCTTTCCAAAATTTTGTCTTTCTCCCATGACCCACATCCAGTTGTGTTAACATGAAATCATACCCACATCTAATCACATCTCACTAGTAGTACTGCTCCCTCTGATTCATGTTATTATCATCTCCTTCCTGGATCTTTGCAGTGGCACCATTGGAGCAACCCTTGTTCTGACTCTGAAGAGCAGCCAGAAAAGTTACTAGGAATCAAGTTAGTTCAGATCAACCCCTCTGCTCCATGCTTACCATGAATTTCTAGCCTCCCTCAAAGTGAAATGTCAGTTTAAAGACTAGGGTGAACCAAACCCTGGTCTTCTCAATTGCTTGTTATGCATCTGAAAGCTGGACAGTGAGTGACTTAAGGGTGACAGAAGAATCAATGCCTTTGAGCTGTGGTGCTGGAGTAAAGTATTGAACATACTATGGACTGCCAAGAGAACAAACAGGTATTTTCTGGAGAGTGTGAAACCAAGTTGCTACTTGCTGGCAAGGATTTTGAGGCTCTGTTTCACATACTTTGCATAGAAGAACGTCTTGTTTGGAAGGATGGAGGGATAGTGCAGAAGAGGAAGACCCTGGATGAAATGGATTGACACAGTAACTGGAGCAATGGGAGTAGCTGAGACAAAGGGCAGGGCTTAGAGCCATAGCTGTGAGTTGTACTTGACACTATAACAACAACAAAGGGAAAGCCAGTTATATTTGTTCCCATTCCAAAGAAAGGTGACCCCACTGAGTGTGGAAACTACAGAACAGTGTCATTGATTTCACATGCAAGCAAGATTCTACTGAAGATTATCCAAAAACGATTAGAAC